AAATTCCCCCACTTTCTTTTTGTCATCCCACCAATGTGTAAAAGAATCTGTACATGTTGATGTACAATAAGCATTTTCCTAAAGTCACTTACTCTCAAATCTTGCATATTGGAAAAGTTTCAGATATTTGTCATTCTGTATGTTCCGTTTAACTTGAGTTCTTTCGAGTTGGCGGCAATTGTTTAGTTTAACTCAAGTATCACAATGAAGGCGGCAATGTTGATGATTTGTCATTATGGATTGTTGTGGGAATTTCAATAATTTTTTTTATTCAAGATTGTGCACAACTTTTAAGTTTTATTGAAGTTTTAAAAGCATGTTTTGTGCATTAAAAATAAAAGGGATGTTTTGTAAAATATCCAGTTATGATTTTGCAGGGGACAAGACAATGAAAGTCAAGATTTTACGTATCCTTTATATGTAACTGCATAATTAAATATTCCTGTATTCATGCATTTATTTAATTAGTGTTGATTTAAGATAATATCACTAGTCAAGAATTCAAATTTTTGGAATGGTTCTGGATATCTACAGACAATTGGATTACTAGAAGATCTTCCCAATCATTTGGGATATGATTTATTCACCTGGCATAAATTGCATTAATTTCATGCTTTGGCATGATAGTAACATTCATAATCACTGTTTACATTTGTATGACTTTGGCACAAGCCACAAAATGCTAGGTGGGTAAGCCAGTAATTTATGTAGAATGTAAAGTTGAAGTAGATTTCCTGAAGCTGATCAGAGCTTGTGTATATGGTCCGTCGGCGAATAGAAGGCAAAAGGTCTGAGCTTTTTACACTATATATGGGTCTATAAGTTTTTAGTTGTAGGGAGGTAGCTTATTTTAGAACTTTCCAAAAGCATCTCCCGATAACGCGATGGTAATCCAGCATTTCTGATTTGCTGTTCATCAGAACTGAAGGTTTATTTGAATGCTTTAAAATGATTAGCAGGCTGAATACAACATGGAAAGTTTAAGAAAATTGTTCCACATGTCAATTTTTGACATAGTAGGACTCTTAATTATGTAATAGAGGCTGCACTTTTAATCAGTTTGTTGAATATTGAAGCTGCTTTGGGTACAAAAGTTATTTTGCTTTTGACACCTGTGAGGATTGATTTTCCTTGACCCCATCATTTATGGATACTGTTGGGCCTGATGGACAGAGTATGCTCTTTAATATCACTTCTAATTTGCTGTTTTCCTGAAATTTAAATTTTGTAAGGAGATGAAAAGTTGGTTTTTAATAAATCATAGATGGCATGCTGTTGCTTCATGGACATGGGATGCCCAAGATGAGACTTGTGGCATTTGTAGGATGGCTTTTGATGGTTGTTGCCCTGATTGCAAACTCCCAGGGGATGATTGCCCTCTGAGTAAGTCTTAGAAGCTTTTGCCAGCCAGTTTTTCTATGTTTTGCTCTATAGAAATAGATGATTCTCGTGAAATAAAAGGTCCGCTTTCTGTGCCAAACAGTCAGCTTCCCTGCTATCTTCACTTATTAAATATATATTTTTTAATTATCTACTTTAGTTGCATGCCTTTCTAATATTTTTTCTGTTTTGTACTTTTTAAGTTTTTTCAAAAACTATGTTATTTCCATTCTTAGAATTGTAGAGGGGGCATATGATGATATGAAAATGTTTTAAGACATCTTTTACCTCAATGAGGATGCAAATCACCCCTTGTTAAATGACATTGGAACAGAAGGGCTTCAGTCGAGGCTTAACGAACAGTCTTCCTCATATGAAATTTATTTTTTGTTAACAAATTCTCACAATCTTTTTTTTTTTTTTTTTAGGAGATGTGGTCCTCATATAATTAATGTCAATGTGAATTTCATTACCTTGCATCACTAGGGGTAAAACGGATGGCAAGGTATATGAAGTTCATTTTTGCAAATATGACATCAACTTTGAAATTCTATTCAATGATGGAATTATGGATACGCTATGGTTATGCTTTGCAATCCCTGTGAGATAGTCATAATGGCCCTCACAGCTTACAAAATGTCACAGTACTAGGTCATATCTGCTCCCCTCCCCCAACTTTATGTTGATGCTAGGACAGCTATCCTTGTGCTTAGAAGTGGTTTTTATCTGGTGTTGGACATTGACTGGACGCATGTTCTCTACTCATTTCTTGAACAAACAAATAACCATGTTTTGTGAACCCAGACTCCTGTGTCTAAAGGACAGTACAAGAGTAGTCATCAGTTACTAAATCTTATCATCTAATGATTAACACACACTGGCCACTATCAGGTTAGGTCTGCATGTTTGTGTCTTCATGCCCAATGTGACTCTTGAGCCTGCTGAATAGACCGGAAACTTCTGTGGTATTAACCTTGAGTTTAAATTCGCAAATTTGGAGTGGAGAGGGACAGTTTCTGGAGAGAAATAATTGGGGCGAAGTATGGTGTGACCGATGGGGGATGGTGTACATTTGAGGATCGTGGTTCTTATGGGGTGAGCTTGTGGAGGTATATCCGACGGGGATGGAGTGCATTTTTTGACAAATTGGAGTTTGTGGTTGGAAATGGTAATGAGATTAAATTTTGGGATGATTGTTGGTGCGGAGATCAACCGCTGAAGGAGAGATTCCCTTCTTTGTATCTTATTGCCTCAGTGTCCAGTGCCATGGTGAGTGATTCCTTAGACATTCATAATGGGAGTTGTAGTTGGAATATAACTTCTGGCAGGGATCTTCAGGATTGGGAATTGGAAGATTATTCACTATTTATGACCATTTTACATGAGGCCCAAATTCGGGTTGGAGAGAGGGATTGCATCAGGTGGAGGACAGCACAGGATGGCATTTTTTCGGTTCGCTCGTACTTTGGTTCCCTCATGGGATGTGTGAATAATTCATTCCCATGGAAGTTGGTTTGGCAGTGTAAATTGCCTCCTCGGGTGGCATTCCTATTGTGGACAGTTGTGAGGGGACAGGTCTCAACGGTAGATAATCTTCATCGTAAAGGCTTTTATGCAACCGAGTGGTGTTATATGTGCAAGAAGGATGGGGAGACGATTGATCATTTGTTCATTCATTGTGATGGTGTACGTTGGATTTAGAACAGTATAATCAGTTCACAATCTATGGATTGGGTGATGACTCGTCGTATAAAGGACGTGATACGGGCATTGCGTAGAAAACTTCGGGATAAGGATAGCAAACTAGTATGGCACCTTATCCCGGGCTGCATTGCTTGGTGCGTGTGGAGAGAAAGGAACAACCGTTGCTTCAAAGACCAAACAAAGACAAGAGAGCAGATAAGAGAAACATTTTACTTTACCTTGTATTCTTGGTATAATGCTGTGGCTAGAAATCCTGTAGATGGATTGCCTAATTTCATGTTTTTCCTTAATAGCTTAAAGTGATTGTACACCTCCCGTGTATTCTCTTTTAAGTAATAAAATTATTTGATTACCTATCAAAAAAAAAAAAAAAATCGCAAATTTGGGGATGAGAGCAAAAGCGACATCTTAAAAGCAATGAAATGAATTTTTTTTGAGAGCAGACTTGGGTGAGATCATATGTGTCATTGTGTCCACATCTGCATGTGTAGTGTAGTTGGGGGGAGCTAACCTCCTCGCGTCAATGTTTTTGTGATTCAGTTTTTGCATGTGAACAACTACTTGTTGTAACTTGAGATCTCATTCATTTTTCTTGCAATTGCATGTTAATTGCTCTCTTGTTAGCTTTCTTTCTGGCGTATGAAAGCTAATAAAATTTTGCTGATAAGCAATCTGTGTTTCCTTGTGCAGTCTGGGGTGCTTGCAACCATGCCTTTCATCTTCACTGCATCTTGAAATGGGTGAATTCGCAAACTCCTCAAGCACATTGTCCCATGTGCCGTAGAGAGTGGCAATTTAAAGGATGAGAAATCCACTTGTATGAGTTGTTCTTCCCTTGGCTTTGTCCCACTCTCGAACCCTCTCCGTGTCAAAAGAAAAAGGGATAACAAGTTATGTTCTTTCTTTCGTTCTAATATAGAAAGTATTGTGGTAAAGACAATTGGTACGAGGTATCCAACTCTGAAATATGTTTCTACTTTATGCAATTCATTTAGCCATTCTATCAAACTATTAGTGTGGGTGTTGTGGCTAAATTGTCTTTGGGCCGCACCTGTAGTGTTGGGAAGTGTTTATAAACAGTAACATTTGTAATCAAACAGAATTGAGTGATGGAATGAATAGTACTTGTAAATCTTATAAAATGTCTTAACGGAAATATAGTTTGACCAAAAGTATTTATAAATATTTTCTAAAGATACTTTTGAAGAAGTAGGTATTGTAGACCCAACAAAGTTGAAGACAATAGAAAATTAGCTCTTGGTCATTATTTTGAAAAAAATTGACGAACAGAGATTTTTTGAAGAATGTGTAGTTAAAAAATATTAAAATATTTTGAATTTACGTGCGTGCAACATATTTTATTATGTAATTGAAAATGGACAAGAAAATTAGTACATTTTATTTTAAAGAGACAAATAAGGGCTAATTGGAAAATGGATTATTCCCATTGTCATGTCACACGTCTAATTTATCTCCTACCCAAGTCTGTGATGGACAAATTGAAAATTACTTATATGGTTTTGTGGGTAAGCTTTTTGTTATGAAGGTTCATGAACTCACAAATTGATTTATTACCTATATTCACTACTATTCATCTCTAAAGCCATTTATTAATTTGCCAAAGGCCAATTTTATGATTGCCAAAATTGTGAAAATCCGATCTTCATCGTACAAAAACATATACATTAAGAGTTTGTTTGATTAACATGGAAAATATCACCTAAAAAAGAAAATGTTTTCCATCTTTTGTGGAAAATAAAAACTACCTCTATCCAAAGAAAATGTTTTCCTTAAAAACAAGGAAAATTAGGCATATTTTCAAAAGTTGGAAAACGTTTTCCGTGGAAAAAAATAGCAATCAAACACTTCAAGTAGAAATTTGGGTGAAAAACTAATATTTTCCATGAAAAATAAATGTAATCACACACACCCTAATAGTTAGTGTCGACATGACAAGTAGTACGGGATAAATTTAAATACTGATTAGATGACATCAATTTATCCTGAGTATCAAAAATGTTATTAATGTCCCTTTGATGATAAGTTGTGTGTATAAGTAGGTCGATATTTAAGAGTTGAAAAAAAAAAGAAAAAAAAAAAATATATATATATATATAAACCAAATAATTCATATAGAAATGGTAAATGATGATACACAAAACACTTGCAATAAATAAATTACTACTTCTCGAAGTTACATGATAAACCAAATGAAGACATTAACAAAGATGACTCGATGACAAACATATACGAATATATAATAACAATAATCAGCCCAGAGACAGATGAAAAGGATAGGACTGAAGAAATCATAAAACACCAAACTATCAACACCATCCAGCAAGAAAGGAAAAAACTTTATGACACTTAACCTTCACATCTCTTCTTCACCTGTCAAAAATATCAGGAAGAATAATTATTATTTATCATGATCTTGGACCACCACAATAAGATTGATGAAGCTCTAGGGACGGGACGGGACGGTGGGACCTCAAGGTTGGGGCAACTTTTTTTTTTATTTTTTTGATGAAGCTCTCCAAATTATTTTTGGAATAATTAAGATTTTTATGACTAAACTGATATTTTATTGGCTAAGGGTTGGTGCGTAGGTCAAAAATTTACCAGTTGTTGGATGGGATCAGTTCTTGGTGATGGCGTAGACAGCATAAATGATTCCAGGGAGGTAACCCAAGATGGTCAGCAGCAAACAGATCCAAAATTCAACCTGGACAAATTTATACTTAAAATCATGTATTTAATGATAAATACGGATTAATCTTTCTATTCTAGCAAAGAAAACGTACCTTGCAGCCATATCTAAGGAAGACGCCAAGGGGAGGCAAGAGAATAGCCACAATAATGTCTATGCAAGTTGCTGTCCCATCATCTGCCATTTCTGCCTGCTTCAGATTTTGAGAACCCCAGACAAATTTTACAGATAAGATCGTAATAAATATCAGTTCAAATTTCAAATTGTGAATACAACTGCTAGAGAAAGGGGCGGATTTATAGCCGCAGATGAGTGATTATATTATGGACACGTGTTACGCACGGATTTGGGAATAATTATTTTGCATGGGTTTCCTTAGCATTGTGAAGAATGACTTTAATGTTTTGCTTTTAATGAGGCCACGTTTGCATGTGCTGGCTCTGGATTGTCCGCGTGGACCCAGGATGGTTTTGCTTTAATTAAACTTCACTCACAATCGCGTTGACTTTAATGTTGGTCATGCTGCGTAATTAATAAAAATTAATATAAATTTAGAGAAATATTTTTGTAAACAGTTTATTTACTCTATAGAGTAATGGATGCAAAAGTCCCTATCGTTTGTTAATTTTGCAAAAATTATTTTTATCAGTTTAATTTTGACATTTTGCACAAATCGGGTCGATCAATCCTTGTACAAATCATCGAATAATATTATCTAATATCATTGGTACTACAACATCAGTTTAGGTGACATTAAGTGATAAAGTCAATTAAATGTAAAACTAAATAATTCGTTTAATTATATATCTTATTTAATGTCACATTAGTATATTGATGTTTTAATAGAAGTGGTGTAAATAACATTACTCCTTATCGTTTATGCCATTTAGAGCCTGTTTGATTCTCATTAATTGGGAAAAAATAAGTTTTGAATAGTATTTTAAAAAGAATTTGTGGTTAAAAAATAGAAAAAAAATTGGTATACATGTAAAATATTTTATTTTGTGAATGTGTGATTGAAATAATTCTATAGCAAACAATAAAATAAATTAATGGACGTCAAACAGACACTTAATTTTGTCAATTTCTTCCATTAAATTGGCGCTTGATCTCCACTCAACTCACATTGTAAGGGTAATTTGGTTCATCCATTCTATTGTATTTTCCCCTAATATAATCATATTTTTTAATGAAATCTCTCACCCTCCAACGATGGTGGCAGTGGCGGCCATCGACGATCGACTGCTCTACACCAAGGAGACATCTCTTGAATATTCTTCATTTTCAGAGGTTGTCACACTACCTTCAGCTGAAGCTTAAATAAATTCACTTGACCCGTATACCTCATCAGCTTCAAATTCTAATTGAGCTCTAATAACACTTCAAGCTCTTGATCCATTTGTTCTGACTGTTCCATTTTCTTAATCTTCTTCTCTATCTTCTTAAGCCTATATTGCCGTTATATCCATTTGGGATCTATCTTGCCTGGATCAACAAACACTCGATCCATATACTGATTCTTTACGACTACAATAATTAGATTCCACAACTTTAAAAATTAGAACAGCAGAAAGTATATTAATTTGAAAGTAGACGCATCAACAAAATAAAATCTCTATATCAATTTGAGAAATTGATACATACAGTAAATATATCAATTCGGGTTGTCAACGGATGGTTTATTACTAGGGACTAGGCACCATATGTGCAGATAGTTAGTCAAGTTACAGACAACTTGTGCAAACCAGGAAAATAATATGAACACATTGTCCCAATTACATAGTTTATACAATGATATTTTGCATCTGTTTGTTTATGACACATAATCACTTTTTGATTTGATGAATTTTGATAATTACTTCCATCAATAAAATATATATATATATATAGCTAGACCGGGTCACATTAACTATATCAAGAAAAAATTACATTACATCTTACATTTAATCAACAATCTCTCCAATCTTTTTAATAAAAAAAAAAAACAAATTGAAAATATTCGAGAGAGCAATCTCTTCGTATATGAATGTTGACCAACATCTTCATTTTCTTCGGCTTTTTCTCTTTTTTTACTTTTACTAAGACTACTTTCTTTGGAAGAATGATGCGAATTGAATTTTTCTTTTCATTTCAAATATAGAAAAAAAAAAGTTTTATTTAAGAAAATGAGAAAATAAATAAGTTGGTTAAAAGTGCCTTTAATTAAGAATTTTCCCGAATCAGGATGTGAACGTCAGGTTCTCTTAGTCTGAGGTGTCCCGCTATAAAGAATCAATGGCTGTGCTTTTGCCGCGTATAACTAGATCAACGAAGCTGAAGGAATGTGCGAAATTAGGGGTGCACGTGACTTCACCGCCTTTCCAGTGTCATCCCACATGTGCCAGATATGTGGTCACTTTGTGGTGTGTTTGCTTATTAGATGTAAATTGGTTTATAAATCTAATTATATTAGGGGGTTGATTCACAAAACTTACGATAGAAGTTTCAACATATTTATTTTAATAAAAATTGTGAGTCACATTAAATATTTTCTGTGCTTAAAATCGTTGTTTGACAATTTCAAACCTTAACAAAAATTTTACGAAGTATATCATACAAGAACTAAGATAAAATTTCATTCGATATATTTTCACTTAGGGTGTAGTACTTCAATTTTGATTAAGAATAACGATACTTTAATTTTTTTTCAACTAATAACCCCACTTCGATTTATTTTCAATCATATAACTAAATTTTGACTTAATTTCAATTGAGATGATTTCATGTAATTCTATTAAGCCCCTATTTGTCATCCATTTTTTCACATTTTTCTCATTATTTTTTTTACAGTACTCATTTTCAACTACACATTTTTCATTAAAATAATATTACACGTAAATTAAAAAAATCTTCTTTTTTAATCACATATTTCAACATCAATCACATTTCTATAATACATTCTTCCAAAATAATGAGTAACAAACACACCCTAAAAGAACTTGATGATGTAATGAAATCGGTGGTGGCTAATATGAAAATAAATACAACTTTACTTTGACGATTATCGTTTCTTGATTGTCATGCCATTGATTCATATCAATCCAAACGATAGAACTGTAACAAGTCACCTCATTGAAATCAATTTAAAATGAAGTTATCAAATGATCTAAATTAAATTACAATTACCTAATTGATACTAAAAGAAAGTACATTTATAGTCCTATTTGACAATCATTAAAATGAGTTTTTTTTATTTAAAAAAAAAAGATTTTTGAAATAGTGATTTTGGAGAATGTATAGTTAAAAAATAGAAAAAGTTTTAAATTTACATGTAAAATATTTTATCGTGAGAATGTGTGATTAAAAATGAGTTTGAGAAAAAAATTTATTTTAATGATTGTCAAACAGGGGCTTAATATGAATAGAATATACCCAATTAATTGCTCAC